CCAGGCCCCCTCATGGCGGCCAAAGTGGGTTCAAGGAGGTCCCCCCTGAACCTGAAGACCGTGTCGGAGCGGGCCAAGCCCGGCGGCGGCGGCGGCAAACCCCGCAAGAACTCCGAGGCGGGCGGCGCGGTCCCCCCCGCGGGCAAGGGCCGCAAGAACTCGGTGGCCGAGCTGGGGGGCGGCAGGGCCGGCCTGGCTCCCCCCAAGGACAGCCGGCTGTCCCGCGAGAGCCTGCAGGGGCTGATCCAGGCCGCCGCGGGCAAGAGCCGCAAGAACTCCCGGACCACCGACGAGGAGCCGCACCGGGGCGCGGCCAAGAGCTCGGGCTGCAGCACCTACATCAACAGGCTCATCAAGGTGGACACTCAGGAGAAGAATGGGAAGAGCAGCTACCCCAGTAGCAGCAGCAGCAGTAGCAGCAGCAGCAGCAGCAGCTCTTCCTCCGCGTCCTCATCCCCTTCCTCCCTGGGCCCCGAACTGGACAAGGGCAAGATTATTAAGCAGCAAGACACGGTAGGAATCCAGTCTCCCCCGGGCCACCTCTCCCCACCTCTCCCCGTGGGAGAGGACAGCGACCCTGCGAACCCCTAGATAGAGTTCCTTCTGCTTCAGAGACGGGAAGGATGTGTTTCCCCCTCTAGCATTTGGTGACTTCTAGGTGACTGTTCTAAACCATTCGTTTTTTCATCTTGGAAAAAAAAATCCTCATTCTAGGGATGGGGAACGTTGCAGAAATGTGCCCTGCGTTTAATTTTGTTAGCAGCGTAGATGAGGAATGGAATGAAACGTTCCTGCTTTGTTCAGTTTGGCCCCCTTATAGGCGGTGGTCTATTTTAATTTTGGAATCCAGGGAGGGCTGCAAAGCTAGACTGTGTCTAGCTTTAATTTCTCTTGAGCATAAGGAATGGTGGCCTCCAAACTTGTAAGCATGGTTTTCAAAGGTCCAGAGAGGGGTTGGCCAGCCCAGCCCAGCCCACCTCCCAGATTGGAAGCCCCACCTCAGAAAGGGTTTCTCCAAGCTTACCAGCTCCCCAAGCTTACAACCCTTTCATTCAGCCCATGACCGTTGGCTGTGCAGCAGCCAGAGAGGAGAAGGGGCACAGGGCTCTGCAGGGGGCTAGAGAGAATGGAACAAAGAACGCTCTCCAGGAAATGACAGATGCGGGAACTAGTAAAGAGACTCACTCCGTTTTGACAGAGATGAGTTGGGTGTTTGTTTTAAATTCACTCTTCTGTGTGAAGTGGGGAGAGAGAGGAGCTCACAGGGCCTTTCGGGCTCCAGCCCGGATGACCGCTTTCTGCCGTGGGAACTTAAATTTTCTCTGGCCCCGGCTTCCAACATGCTGCCCACCTGAATGGAGTCAGGAGCCGGAGGAGCAGACCACGCATGTCTGCGTTGGGTCCTTCCACCCGTTCCTCCATTCATTCTTTGCACAAGTGTTTGCAGCATGCCTACCTTGCGCCAGGCACGGGACTGCCAAGGCCCCAGCTGGTCCGAATAGGCGTGGTCTACCTGACTGACTAGATCGGATGCACCTTGCAGCCCTGGGCCGCCCATCACACTTCCTGTTCCTCTCTATGCTTCAGGGGTGTAGTTCACATGGTGGGCAGTCAGAAGAATACAGTCAGGGAGGGAGTGGTTAATCCGAGTCCCCAGCAGCGGTTGCCTGGGTGTTTTCGTGGTCATCACTTCTAGATGTCGGAGTTTCTTAGGCCGTCTCCTCCCAAGTGGAGGGCTCCTACGCAGGCGTCCTCTCCTCCTCACTTCTCGCTGTGTATCTCCGTTCTCCCCGCCAGCTCCAGTGGTCCTTCTCCGTGAACTCTTTGGAGAATGTAATCAAAGATTGTGGAGCAGGCTTCTTCCCCGGGAAGGGGCTTCTTGCTTGACCTCCCACGTTGTCTGTCACACAGCTGCTGCCGAGCAGAACTGTGGCACACACACCACCTTTGCAGACCCCTTGGTATTTTCAGAAGAATAGGTGCTTTCTGACACAAACGCTGATCAAAACTCTGTCTGATGGTAGCCTCAGAGAACAAGTCTGCCTGTGAATTATTGAACCTAGAACGCCCACAAGGGTGTTTAGTTCTGACCTATTTCTTATTATAAAGCCTGTCCCTTTAGAGCTGTTACAAATTCCTTGAAAGACAAGAAGCAGGTCTTGGTCTTATTTTGATTCCCTAGCCAGTGCTCGCGGACATGCAGCAGTGCCTGGGTGATTGGCTGACTGACCATGATTTGCTCATTTTGCTGGCATTAAAAAGACCAGATCATGGGGAAGGTGGTAGACCAGCATTTTTTTTATGCTCTATAGACCCCACCCCTGCCACCCTTTAACCCAGCAAGTAAATGCTCTATTGCTTAGGGAAAGAAAAGGAGGTGAAAAGAGTCGTGGGGATCAGCGGAGTTTAGACGAATTGCTGACAACCAGTTATACTACAAAAAAATCAGATGTTTGTGCAGCTCGGTGGATAACAGGATCAAGTGCAAAAGCTACCCAGAACTAGAGATTTTGATGTCTTTTCAGATCAGCAGGTTGTCAGTAGACACTTTGCTGCCACTGCCATTCTGGCATAGGATAATCCTCTGCTTCTTTAACAGGTCATCATTTTAGAAGACTATGCTGACCCGTATGATGCCAAACGGACAAAAGGTCAGCGGGATGCGGAGAGGGTAGGCGAGAACGACGGCTACATGGAACCCTATGACGCACAGCAGATGATAACAGGTCCGTAGCCGGGAGTTGTTCAGTGGGGGCAGACCTCTCACACTCGCTTGGAGTGTGTAAAACAGTAACCACTCTCTGTTTAGGGAAGAGGAATGAAGCCATTTAACCAGGTCATGCTGAGTGGAAGGAACAGAAATTAGACTCAAAACGAAAGTCAAGCCCTGGCCGGTGTGGCTCAGGTGTCAGTGTCGGTCCGTGCGCCCAAGGGTTCGATTCCCGGTCAAGGCACATACCTGGACGGTGGCTCTGCTCCTGCCCCCAGATGGGGCTGCCTGCAGGAGGCAACCAGTGGATGTGGCTCTCTCACATCCACGCTTCTCTCTCTTCCCCTCCCCCACTCTACCCCTCTCTCCCTCCCTCCCACTCTCTCAGCAAAAGCAATGGGAAAAATACCCTCAGATGAGGTTTAACAACAACAAAAACACGAAAGTCAAATGTCTAGTTAACTTCCTGTATAGTTTGCATCCTTCCGTTTTAGAATTTAAGGGGTCTTTAAAGTTTTTCTAATCCTGTGTAACATGACACTCTTTCATAGTGAGTTTGCAGATCTGCTCAGAATGTGATCTTCAGTGTTAAGATTGACCACTTTCAGAGCTCTAACATCTATCTTGGGAGTCATAAATCTGCACCAAGAGACGAATACATCCCTAAAGGGTTTTAAGTTGTCAAAAGGCACAAAGTGACGGTGTCCTCTGTATTACAGAACATTGGTTTCTCCACAAGCTCTCCAACATTGGAGCAAAATGCTTAATAACTAAGGAATGATTCCCAATCACTGGCATGAGCCACGCCATTCAAGGCAAACCTCCTAAAACCAGTTGACAACCTTGTAACTTCTCAAGTTGGAACCATTCCAACTTAGGAGCTGAGCAATCCCCCTGTCACTTTTGGTATCAAACTTTTCCCCTTTTATTCACAAATCCCTTAAACTGGTGTAAACAGTACTTTAAAAAGATATATTTACTAATGATTTCGTTTTATTTGTGAACTTTAGAGTAAGTTATTTACTCGCCTAATTTCCCTTCCACACGCTTGAATCCGTAATGAGAAATGAAGTTTCCGAGTGCGGACTCCAAGGAGCCTGGTTTGAGTGTCGTGCGTTTGGTGCCTGAATAGTTGGTCACACAGGAGACGGGTCTCTTCTGTGTAAAAGCAGATTGAAAAGCTGTCCAACTCGGGCTCCACGAGCAAAGCCTGGGAGGAGTTGAGCAGAGGGTAACGAACGCAACGCCCGGTCGGCCGAGACCCGCTGGGGGCAGAAGTGGGGGTGCTCTCAGCTCCCCCTGGAAGGGTCAAGACAGGCTCCCAAATGCAAACGAGCTGCCACAGGAAGGCACTGCTGTTTCCTGCGCTCTGCTTGCAGAGATAAGGCCGGGGCTGGGGAGGGTGTACCCCGGCCAGGCTGTGACCCTGAAGGTCACTGGACTGTGACCTCTCATGAAATCTGTGAATGAAAGGAAGTGAAAACGAAGTTAGTCAGAGTTTTAAAAAATATCGGAGGCTTGAGAGAAATAGGGGAAAAGATTTACTTTCACATAAAATTGAGGAAAAAGATAGTCTAAGAAAAAATGTTTCCTTTTTATTCACCTTCCTTTGTCTTTTGGGTTTTACTTCTTTCTCTTTGGAATAAGCAGTTTATCTGTTCTAGCCCCGCTGTTTATTCGTGGGGCCACACTGATTATAGGGAAAGTGCTGTGCTTTTTAAAAATGAGCATATCTTTTGTTCTCCATATAATCCCCGCAAAACTCCAGTACCAGCCCCTTGATGCAGGATCAAGGAGATTCTGACTTGCCTAAGCTCCCAAGACTTTGTAAGTGACAGAGCAGAAATTAGAACTCAGATCTTCCCACTCCAGATGGGGCCGTCTGCTCCCTATACCAGGTTGCCCCAAGAAATATGAAGTGCTGCGTGCAAAAGCACTTAACCGTATTCATCAGTAAGGCGTCTTTCCATTCACTCACAGAGAGGGTTAGAGTGAAAAGTCAGAGTTGTCCAACATGAATAAATGTAACAATAATAATAGCTGGCATTAAATATGTAAGCATTTGTCAATTCCAGGCTCGTGTGTGTGAATGAATTCATTTAGGAATGGGAAATTAATATATTCAGTTGGAGACTAAATTCAAATCTATCAAAAATTTAAATTACTTTTAAAAATTATTCGACCTTTTCTGTGCTTTTGCAAAAATATATATTGATGAATGTTAAAGTTTCTTCACTTAAAATATATATCAAAAAGCACTTCCTCAGTCAGTGTAGAGAGTATACCTCTTATTCTACCCGCAGGTTACACAGCTGGGCAGAATAACAGGAAGTGAGTTTATCGGAAGCCGGGAATAAAAGATTTGCTGCCTGGTGTTTTTTTTTTAAAAAAAAAAAAAACCTTTTACCTTTTTTGTTCAGTTTGTTCCTTGTGTGATTTGTTGTCAAGTCCAAGTTCAGAAATGTCCCATATTTCTTGGGGAACGTTAGGGATTTCTTTTTAGTTTGTGTCCGCATTTCGGTAGCAGAAGGAGATATTACTAATGAATGGTTTCACTGTGGAGCTCCCAACCTCTGACCTGCCTTTTTAATGACTGTGAAGTGGGAACATGTCTGATTTTAACAGTATCTTGGGTGTATAGAACGCTGTTCCTGGTGTTATAACAGCCAACCAATATTTCTTTACCGTGTGCCAGGCCCCGTGCTGGGATCTGGGCATACAGGGAACAAGACCCACTGACCCTCGTCCTTGTGGCCCTCACAGCCCCAGGGGCTGACAGACCTAACACCGATGCAGAAGAAAACATGTCATTGAAAAGTGGTGAGTGCCAGGAGGCGGAGAATGAGAATCATCATCTGCCTCAGGGAACAGAGGAAGAAACAAATTAAGAGGCATTAGTACTTTTCCTGAGGCCAAATCCCTGGGACCCAGGCTCCCTGGATCCCTGCCAAGACTTTGCTCTTAACTTTTAAAGGCTAAGGCTGTATCAATCTATGAATAAATTCTTGCTTATATTTATTCAGAGGATTGCTCATAAAAAGATATGACTATGAATACGAGGCAATAATAGTACAAACTTCTTCGTTGTGCTGCTAAATTAGCAGAATCATTGCAGCTAAATATTTAGTAGAAATATTCTGTATCGTTTAGCATTATGGGATTTAGCCACCAAATTAAAACGTCAGCATTAAAAGGGTCTTTACAAGCTCCCTAAGACAGCTGTCATTCAGTGTCATAAGTCCTTCCACAGCCCTGGCCGGTTGCACAGTGGTTAGAGCGTCAGCCGTGGACCTAAGGGTCTCGGGTTCTATTCCTGGTCAAGGGTGTGTACTTCAGTAGCAGGCTCGATCCTGCCCCATGGGAGCGCATGTGGGAGGCAACCAATCGATGTGTCTCTCTCACATTGATGTTTCTTTCTCTCTCTCTCTCTCTCTCTCTCTCTCTCTCTACCCGCCTCCTCACTCCCCGCCACTCTCTTTAAAAAAAAAAAAAAATCAATGGAAAAACTATCCTCAGGTGAGGATTTAACAAAACATTCCTGCCCTAACCGGTTTGGCTCAGTGGATAGAGCGTCAGCCTTCGGACTCAAGGGTCCCATGTTCGATTCCGGTCAAGGGCATGTACCTTGGTTGCGGGCACATCCCCAGTAGGGAGTATGCAGGAGGCAGCTGATAGATGTTTCTCTCTCATCGATGTTTCTAACTCTCTATCCCTCTCCCTTCCTCTCTGTAAAAAATAAAAATAAAAAAAAAATTCCTTCCGCAGCTGGTATCACACAAGTTGAGTGCTTGCTAGGTGCCAAGCTTGCTAAATTGCCTCACTAAATCCTACAACCCTAAGAAGTGGGTGTTAGAATTCTCTGTGTTACAGTTGAGGAAACCAAGGTTCAGAAAGATTCGATAACTTGTCCAAATTATGCAGCGTCAGAGTGGAGTCCCCGGGTCACTCAGCAACCATTGGTTGTCGTTACAGAGCTGCAGTCGCAGGTGGTTTAAAATGTGTTTTTTCGCCTCCAAATGGTTTTGTTGGTTTGTTTAAATAGTGAAATCTAAAGGAGAATCTCATTGTTCAGGTCTCCATTTAAAAATTTAACCATAATTAAAAATGTATAAATAGAAGACTATTTTTTATTTATATAATTTGTCTCTACTTTCCTTGTTAAACTTAAATTTCAGGGCTTCTGAGTTACATCTGCTTTTGTTCAGAAAACGTTAAAGTCATTTTAAATCAAAAGCTCGAGCACTGATAAAAGATGTAAGTAAAAAACGTTACCTGCCAGCCCTGGCCAGTGTGGCTCAGTTGGTTGGCGTGTCATCCGGTGTCAGGTTCGATTTCGTGCGGGAGGGAACCCTTTTTTCTGATTCTATGAGGCTCTAAGTTTAGGCTGGCACAGGCTAAATTATGAATTGGGGGAAAAGGTGCACTATAGAAAGGTGCATTATAGAAATCGTAACTCACGTTTTACATGAGATCTTTGGGGCTTAAAGTAAGGAATGATAGAGGAAGCTCTGGTTGACTGCTGCACAGCCTCAGTTTACCCACCCGTGAAAATGGGATAACACTTCTCTAACTCCATTATGAGCTTCACTGAGATACCGGGTATAACAGGCTAGTGCATGCATACACAATGAATACAGCCATTCTTTAGACACTCCAGAGCAGCGGTTCTCAACCTGTGGGTCCCGACCCCTTTGGCGGTCGAACGACCCTTTCACAGGGGTCGCCTAAGACCATCCTGCATGTCAGATATTAACATGACGATTCATCACAGTAGCAACATGACAGTTATGAAGTAGCAACGAAAATCATGTTACGGTTGGGGTCACCACAGGAGGAACGGTATTTAAAGGGCCAGAAGGTCGAGAACCGCTGCTCCAGAGGATTCCATTTTCAAAGAGAATTCCGGACAATTGGAGGAATAACACGTCCCGACTACAATTAACTTAGTAAAAGGAAGTCTTCGTCGCCTGCTAGGCTTTTAAATGTAAGTGGCCTACTTCTGTCGAGCCAGCGTTGGGAAGGGAAGATGTCAGCCCACATTCTGTTCCACGCCACCTTGGGAGCTGGTGCAGGTCAGGCCTGGGTTTCAGCTGCAGATGGGTGTTTATCTGCCGCCCGTTGGCCGCATTCTGTTGTCTGCCATGTAAATGGCCTCTATCGGCAAAGCCAGGGCGTAGCTTCCTCTGGCCGTTTCCTCCTTCTCAGGCTCGTTTCCTCTCGGAGCCAGCTCTGCACGTCAGGGGCTATTCTCCCTGCAGGAAGGGTCGGCTTGCAGCCCCGCGATTGTTTCTGTTTCTATGGCGCCTCTGGCTGGGGGCAGCCAGGTGTTGGAAGGGCCTGGAAGGTTACTCCCCTGGAGGGGGCGGAGGGGCCCTGTGCTCAAGCCCTTTCCCCACCCCCACCCCCTTAATTAAACATTGTTTGGAAAGATGGTACTGCTTTGCAGATTTTGCCCAATCCCAGGACCGTCTCGGGAAGGAACATCCCCGGTGGTCTGCTTGCCGGTGTTTTTCCCAGAGCTCCGTGCACACAGGCTGCCTGAAATAGAAGTGCCAGGACCGCGTCTCAAAAGTGAAGACGCAGACGTGTGTGATAACAACTCGGCGTTCTAATCGCTGTGCGCCGCTTTCACACAAATGTATTGACATTTTCTTAGGCGTATGACGTCTGTCTGAAGGTTGGAATCAACTCGTTTTCCATTTATCTCAACTGAGACAGAATCGAGGCACGAGCCTTGGGAAAGGTTACCCCAGCTGGTGCCAGACTAAACTGAGGGCAAACAGGTTTACATCAGAAACTTTAAAATTCTAAATCCATCCTAGGCACTCCTTTGTGTTTTCTCTTTAAAAAAAAAAAAAACTTCAGCCTTATCTTAATTGAACCGAGAGCAGAGTGTGTTTTTGTTTCTTATTTTCCATAACTCCATCTAGAATAAGCTACGAAGAAAAAAAAGCTGTGGGATTAAAAGTCAAGAGGCTTGGACTGGAGATGCAGGGACCTCAGACAACCCCAGGCCCCGTTCCTGGCCTGGGGGCGGGGACCGTCGAGCGCGCCTGTTCTGGTGCGGAGGCTTTCGATACAGGGGAACCCTGCTCTTTGGGGCTAGCGATGGCACGAGGGCTGGAGAGCAGGAAAACAGAGGGACCAGGGGGACCAGGAGGTGTGGGAGTGCTGCTCAGGCTTAGCCTCTCGTTAGAATCACCTGGGGGGGCTTTTGCACCTCTAACTCCCGGGTCAGACCCCAGACCGATTGAATTGGGTCCTCTGCTGATGGGACCCAGGCCTCAGTGGGTGTGAAAACTCCCACGTGATTCCAGTGAACTGCAGGCAGGGACCCCTAGCCAGCAGAATTATAACCTCACCCTATTAATAAATGTTGTCCTTTCTAATTTAGAGTCCTGATTTGAATAACTTTTCCCTTGAACGTTTCATCTGTTGTCCTTTCCTTGTTAAAGAAGTTGTTCCCGGGTGCCTGGCCGGCGTGGCTCGGTGGTTGAGCATTGACCTATGAACCAGAAGGTCCGGGTTCGATTCCCGGTCAAGGCACATGACCAGGTTGCAGGCTTGACCCCCAGTGGGGGTTGTGCAGGAGGCAGCCAATGGATGATTCTCATCACTGATGTTTCTATCTCTCTCTCTCTCCCTTCCTTCTCTGAAATCAATCAAAAGAAGAAGTCTTTCCTCGCTAGTAGAGTCAATGATGCATCTCCATAGTGTCACTGTGCCCATTCTCCTTTGCTCCTATGGCCTTGCAGTCTTGTGATCCTCTTCCTCCTCACATGACCACTCCTCCTCAGTCTTCTCTGCTGGCACCTCGTCTTCCATTCACTCTTCACTGACGAAGTCCCAGATCCTTCTGAGGATCCTCTTTTCAACCCGCCTCCTTTCCTCTGGTGATTGCTTCCATTCTCCCAGGACTAACAACAGTCCATTTGCAAGTACCTCCTCGATGCATAACTCTGACCTCCATCTCTCGGCTGAACTCCAGATCCGTATTGTCACCTTATTGAAGATTCTAGAGCTCCTTCCTCTCTGTCTCTCCTCCCATCCATCCGATTATTATTTAGCACAACTGGGTGTCCTACAAAAATCAACAGGACGGTGGTGGTCCCCGCCCTGGAAGTCGCCACCAAATTGGAAATACAGACACAAGAACAAACCAATCCATACAGTGGGAGAAGTACAAGGTGAGAGTGGATTGGCCAAGTGACAGCACCTGGGAGAGGTGGGGAATTGGAGGGGGAGATGCTAGGTTAGATTTCAAAGGATGGAAGACCACCCTGGACACTAGTGGGAATAAGGCAGTGTGGTGCTCATGGAATTTCACAAGTTCCATTTGGTTGGAACAAAGAATCAGGTTGCAGAGGGACGGGGCAGGGTGGTGGTGAGAGAAGAAGCTGGGGAGGGAGACCGTGACCTGGTCCCAGAAGGCCTCCCATGCCCTGCTGAGCAGTTTGTACCTTATAAGTGGACAGGTGAGAGCTAAAGGGGTGTTGAGTGATGAGATGAGATGTTTGTGTTTAGAAAGGTCCTCCTTGACCATGACCAAGTGGACAGATGGAAAGCTTCCTTGCCCTAACCGGTTTGGCTCAGTGGATAGAGCGTCGGCCTGCAGACTGAAAGGTCCCAGGTTCGATTCCGGTCAAGGGCATGTACCTTGGTTGTGGGCACATCCCCAGTGGGGGGGGTGCAGGAGGCAGCTGATCAATGTTCCTTTCTCATCGATGTTTCTAACTATCTCTCTCCCTTCCTCTCTGTGAAAAATCAATAAAATATATATATATTTTTTAAAAAGAAAGCTTCCTTGATGGGCATTTAGAAGAACCACCTACTGCTTCTGTTGGCCTACATCCCAGCTCTGGTTGTCCAGACCTTAGACATTAACTCTACCTGCCAAGGCCTCTGGGCTCCACGCTGGTCCGTCACCAGATACTGCTGATTCCTCCCCTCGGTGGCTGGCTGGTTAGCTGGCGGCTGATTGATTTGCATCAGGTTTTTTGCATCCATTTCTTACCTGATCGCTCCTTCCCAGACTTCTTTGTCGAAGCCCAGACCATACCGTTCTGGCTTATTCCGTCCTGTACACTGTGTTGGCGTTACCTCCCAACAAAACAGAAATGTAACTGTTACTACTAGTTTAAAAAAAAAATGTGTAACCATTTTTCATTGCATCCTGGCCTTTCTACACTTTGGTGCCCGGGCCTGCTTACTCTTCTGGCTGCTTCTCCCACTGCCTCTCTCCTCTCCTGGCCTCTGTCCTTTGAACTTATCTCTCAGCTCCCCTTTCTGGGAACGAGCCCTTTATGGTTGCCACCGCCATATCTTCCCTCCTGCAGCTTCCTCCACTGGAAATGACCTTCTCTATCAGAGTCGGCTCATCTTCCATTTCTCTTCTACTTGGAGTCCATCCAAAAGCCGTGGTGAAGAGTATGGCTCCCGGAGCCCAACTTCCTGTTTTGGAATCCAGGCTCTGCCACTTAAAATGGTTTGGGCAGTTTCCTTAAGCTCTCGGTGCTTCGGTTTTCTCTTCTGTGATGTTGGGGGGCTGACAGTCCCCATCTCACAGGGCGGCTAGGAAAATGAGAATGGGATTGGGATAGTGCTGAATGCATAGCACACGATCGATCAATGTTAGCTGTTTGATCATTGTTTTTGTTTTTCCCCGTGACACCTCTTTTACTTTTATTTATCCTGCAATTGTTAGCCTGTTAACGTGTCATTTGTGAATGTGTCTGGCTTCCCCCATTATAATTGAAACCACCTACAAGTCAAGACTATGTCTAATGCCCAATGCTTTGAATATAGTAAACACTCTGCTGATTTTTATTAAAATGCTTTGACCTCCTGACAACAAGTAAAAACTCTGCAGGTAAATTGTACTCGGAGCCAACACGGGGTCAGGAACATGTGAGCAGGTTGCCCCGAGGCCACGTCTGTCCTCCCAGACTGCAGGTGGCCCCCAGCGCACACCTGTCTTCAGACGTGACCCCTGATCCGGCGACCTGGTCCCATGACCTGGCTCGGCTCCTGGCGGGAGGATATAGGCTCCTCCCTGCAGCCCTTAGGAGCAGTGCTGGCGGCCTCTGCCCCCTCGACCACATCGACAGCCCAGCCGGAGGGGAAAGGCAACTCGGTTAATTTCCAGGCTTCCACGGCACTCTTCTCTCAAGGTGTTGTGTGCGCTGCGTGTTTTTCAGAAATCAGACGCCGAGGATCCAAAGATCCCCTGGTGAAGGCCCTGCAGCTGCTCGACAGCCCCTGTGAGCCGGGGGAGCCGGGCGTGAAGCCGGAGGCGCTGGCCCGGAGACGGAGCTCCAAGGACCTGCTGGGGAAGCCGCCGCAGCTGTACGACACGCCCTACGAGCCGGCCGACGGGGGTCCCGAGCGGAAGGCGCGGCCCCCCGACGCCCACGGCCGGCTGCCGCAGGACGACGAGAGGCCGGCGGCTGAGTACGAGCAGCCCTGGGAGTGGAAGAAGGAGCAGATCGTGCGGGCGCTGTCAGGTGAGGGCGCTGTCAGGTGAGGGCGCTGTCAGGTGAGGGCGCTGTCAGGTGGGGGCGTGTCAGGTGAGGGCGCTGTCAGGCGGGGGCGCTGTCAGGCGGGGGCGCTGTCAGGCAGGGGCCTGTCAGGCGGGGGCGCTGTCAGGCGGGGGCTCTGTCAGGTCGGGGCGCTGTCAGGCAGGGGCCTGTCAGGTGAGGGGGCGCATCCCTGCGCTCTTTGCTGCCCCGCTGGGAAAGCTGCGCCCACTGGGCAAATGCCACGTTGTTTACTTCCTCAATTGCAAGTCTCTCTTTTTTTAAAAATATATTTTATTGATTTTTTACAGAGAGGAAGGGAGAGGGATAGAGAGTTAGAAACATCAATGAGAGAGCAACTCGATCAGCTGCCTCCTGCACACTCCCTACTGGGGATGTGCCCGCAACCATGGTACATGCCCTTGACCAGAATCGAACCTGGGACCTTTCAGTCCACAGGCCAACGCTCCATCCACTGAGCCAAACCAGTCAGGGCACAAGTCTCTTTCCGAGGAATTTGGTGGGGAAAGAAGAATCGGGCCTGGTGGGAAGGCCAGGACTGAAGAAGAGCCCTTACTATTGCAATTCTCCTTCATCCTTCTGGGCATTTTATTTTCCTCTCTCTTCCCAGTTGCACATCTCCTGGAAAAGCCTTAAGTGACTATTGGAAAACCTTATCTGATCACCACTGAAGCTTCTCCTTGGGAGCAGCTTTTCTCACTCTCCTTGGTGCTCCTCCTCACACCTGTTAGAGTCCCTATTTATAAACTGCCAGCACTGGGGCAGGTGAATTACAGGTAGAGGTGGTTGGAAAGTGGGGTGAAGCTAGCTTTTTTATTCTCTCTTCTTGTCAGAATTCCTCCTACAGGAATCAGTTCTTTTTTTTTTTTTAATATATTTTTTATTGATTTTTTACAGAGAGGAAGGGAGAGGGATAGAGAGTTAGAAACATCGATGAGAGAGAAACATTGATCAGCTGCCTCCTGCACACTCCCCACTGAGGCTGTGCCTGCAACCAAGGTACATGCCCTTGACCGGAATCGAACCTGGGACCCTTGAGTCCGCAGGCCGATGCTCTATCCACTGAGCCAAACCGGTAGGGGCAGGAATCAGTTCTTTAAATAAGAATTTTTAAAATAACTTACAAGGAAGGTGATAGGTTGTCAGTAGTTATTAAAGGTAATTCACCCTCCTGCTTCTCTCGGGACACAGTTTTTCTACTTGGCTGACCACATAATTTCTTTTGCCTTTGATTTGTAAAGCTAGGGATGTCTTTTCCCTCCAACAGCTAAGCCAAGTTTGCGATTAAAAGTGTAGTTAATGGCCCTGGCCAGCGTGACTCAGTGGATAGAGCGTCTGCCTACGGACTGAAGGGTCCCAGGTTCGATTCCGGTCAAGGGCACATGCCCGGGTTGCGGGCTTGATCCCATTGTGGGGCATGCAGGAGGCAGCTAATCAGTGATTCTGTCTCATCGTTGATGTTTCTATCTCTCCCTTCTTCTCTGAAATCAATAAAAACATATTTTTTTAAAAAGTGTAGTTAATGGCCCTGGCCAGCGTGGCTCAGTGGTTAGAGTGTCAATTGACTCTCGGGTTCAATTCCGGTCAAGGGCTCATACCTGCGTTGCAGGTTCAATCCCCCGCCCCGGTTAGGGCCTGTGCAGGAGGCAACCATTCACTGTATCTCTCTCCCCCCCTCCCCTCCTTCCCACACTCCCCAAAATCAAGGGGAAAAATATCCTGGCATGAGAATTAAAAAGGAAAGTCTAGTTAATGTAAAGGGTGAACACGGAAGGTAACACATTTGATAGCAAACCTTCAGGTCCGTTTGAGTTTTCCTTTCGTCTTGCCGTTCACACATCTCTATTGGGCACCTGCTACGGTGCTAAGTGCTGCTCCTTTTCTCTCATTATCCTCTAGCTGGGCTACACGTCATGGCCTCTGTGAGGCACCATTCAGTAGTTACTCTGTTTCGCATTTGATTTTTCTTTTTGTTTATTATTTCGTGGTAAAAAGCTGTTCAGTTGATTTTCGTGGAGTGATACAGACCTTACAGGAGTCCTCCCCTGGAACTATGTGTAGTCTTTTCATCTAAATATACGACCACGGAGAGTTTTTTCTAACGTTACATGCTGAACTATATTACAGTGGTTTTCTTTCCTGTTCTAAAACTGCTCCACGCCGATGAATATCTCGCAGAGAAAGTAGCTGTCTGCGTGCGGATGCTCCCGTGTGACCAGATGTCCCAGGGCATTCGCTCGCTTTAGGGGGAGGGAGACCGATCAGGAGGGCTCGTTCTTTGGGGCTCACGGTGGGCCACCTCCGTGGCCTCTGATGCTAAATGGAGCCGTCCTTCCAGTTCAGTTTGAAGGCTCTGAGCGACCTTCCGTGAAGGAGGAGCCCGCGAGGCAGCACCACCGGCAGAAGAGCTGGACCCAAAAGATCTTGAAGCCGGCGCTGTCTGACCACGGCGAGGGGGAGCGCGTGGACCCGGCCCTGCCGCTGGAGAAGCAGCCGTGAGTCTCCTGCCCAGCATAGCCTGGGGGTGGAGGGAGCACACTGGCCTATTTTACACGGTTATTATGGCGCGTGAGTACCTGTCTGGGTGGGGCTCATTAATGAAAACCCACTTTCAAAGCCCAGGGCACTTGTACGGAATGGAAAGTTACTGCATCCCGGGAGCCTGATTTTAAATTTCATCTCCTGGATGGATGACGACACTGCCCTGGTCGCTCCCTCTCCTGTGATGGATGGGTTTTGTGATCCAGGCTTACCCGGAGCTGCATCGTGTCTGTGCTAAATGTGAGGCGGGATCTAGTTCAGGCTGTGGAGTTCCTGCCAGAAGTGCATTTCAAATAACGCTTTATGGAGTGAGGCCCTGCCTGGATTTCTGTTTTGACGCCCGTGGTGTCTCCCCCCACCCCTACCCCGTTTTTCAGTTGGTATCATGGTGCCATCACCCGTGCTGAGGCTGAGAGTCGGCTCCAACCCTGCAAAGAAGCTGGTTACCTGGTTCGAAATAGTGAGTCAGGGACCAGTAGGTACTCCATTGCACTAAAGTAAGTGTGGCAGCCTCATGGGCTCTCCCATTTGGATGGGGGCGGGGGGGGGGGGAGTTGACCGTCTTTCCTATCATGGGTAGATGACCAGACAAAAAAGAGATATCATTTCAAGGTAGTCCCACAGGGGCATGTATTGCCACATAGTAAAATGCGTTTGCTTGGACAACAGAATATGAAATGCTCTAATTAGAATGCAGACGGGGTTGGGGGTGAATGCCTCGATATCTCTTATGATAATGAGGGTCCTATGTTGTTGTCATTGTCCGTTAGTCAACGTGTACCTTACATTACCCAACCTAAAGTAGGTCCTCTCGCCAGAGAAATAACTCCTGATAAAAAGAATACTATCCGACAGGATAATCCAGTCATTTTTCTTTCGTTCCCTAGTGCTTTGGGACTTTAATAAATCAGATCCCTTGATTGTTCACATGCCAAGTGCCGTTTTGATACCAGCTTCTTCTAGCGGAGAAGGAAACGCTGACTCGCTATTCCTCCGCTGGCTGGCTCTACACAGAGCGTTCATTTTTGCCTGGTCGGCCTGGTGGAGCTGGAATCATGGAAATTCTCACTGCTCCGCGAGTTCAGTGGTGCTATATTGGAGGATCATTGTCAAGCACCCTAACAGCATTTCCTTCCTGCGGAAGCTGAGTCCCTGCAGCTGAAACAATCAGGCTGGAGGGGAAAGAGGCTGGGGCGGGAGGGTGTTGGAGCAATATGGCTCAGAAAACGGGAGAGGCCACCAGATATACAATACCAGGAATAGCTTTGCCGTTCCTGAAACTGGTGCTCTCGGATTAGATCTTTGAGCCTTCAGTGCCAGCTGTCATTAGATACAGCCAGGAGCAGTCTTTCCAGATTGAGATGGAGTGGGGTGAGGAAACAGTTTGATTATTGTTGTTGTTGTTGTTGTTGTTGTTGTTGTTGATGTATTCTTTGGGGAGGAAAGAAGGAGGAAACCTTATACGTGTCCTTTTAGCCATGATGAAGAATATGAGTTTAAACTTCACCTTAGTGGTCTCATACTTGGGCTGAAGCACACTAGTTTGGCAATTTGAGGACCAGGAGGGACTGGATGTTTGTTTGTTTGTTTGTTTGTTTGTTTGTTTGTTTTTGTCTGGTGCCTGATGACTTGTGTGCACTAAGGATAAACAACTCAAGGACATGTTTATTGAGGGCTGTGTTTGTTTATAACAATTCCGGGCATGGATGAGAACCTGGGCACCTGTGAATCTGACCGGGGTTATTTTCAGTGAGGAGGGGTCCCCTTGCTCGCTCATTCATGTCTCCTCCTTGATTTGTTTCATTCCAGGACTAGTCAAGGATGTGTCCACATCATAGTGGCTCAGACCAAAGACAACAAGTACACACTGAACCAGACCAGCGCCGTCTTCGACAGCATCCCTGAGGTGGTACACTATTATTCCAATGAGAAGTTGCCTTTCAAGGGGGCAGAACACATGACCTTACTCTACCCCGTGCACAACAAGCTGCACTAAGGTTCAGCCGCCACAAGCCCTGGCCGGGCCTCTCACACCTGAGAGGGCATCAGCACCCACCCAGCACCTCGGGGGCAAGGCTGGACTGCGCCACAATAATTGGTAGGAGGTGGGGGTCTCCATTGAGAAGTCAAAACGTCTTTGGGCTCGAATCCATTTCATGACACTTGGTCGCTGACCTGTCCCCTTTCTCCCTGCTAAGTAGTCCTACAACGAGAAATGGCTCATGCCAGGTGCCTCCCCTCTCTAGAGTGGGGTGTTCTATTTGGGTATGACCCTCAGCCAAGGTAAGTCAGGAGTCCAGGAATATTAAAGTTCTCCAGAAATTGTGCTAATTTTTACCTGGGTTACCTGGTCTCCAAACAAACCAATAAAAGTGCACTTAGCTTTTACATAAAAATGATCGGGCGGAACAGGAGAGCAAATGCTATCAGACCCCTTTTGGACAAAAGGCTGAACAGAAAGAATAAGTGAACAGTGGACCTTAGGGAAAGCTGTCTTTCTCACGTGTCCTAGTTCAGCTTTGGAGTCCGTGAAATTTCCCAACTTTAGGGTCTGGCAAAGGATTATTTTGTTGGTCAGCCTGCTAAGAAAGTTTGTGCTTTCTTGATCTCTGAACTTTTTCGTCATTTCAGCAAGTCAGTAACATAAGCATAAATAGGAAGGACAGTTTAAAAAAAATCAGTACAGGCTTCTGGCCAAGGTGGCATCATAGATGAGTGTGGTACTTGCACCCTCCCACAACCACATCAAAATTACAACTAAACTACAGAACAACCTTCACTCAGAACCTCCTGAAATCTAGATGAACGGAAGTTTTGCAACTAAGAATATACAGAAGATGCCACATCGAGACTGGTAGGAGAAGCAGAGACACTGAATGGGCTGGTCTCACCCACATGTGGGTAAAAATTGGGAGGGATACTTGACTGTGGAGGTCCGCACTGTGGAGTGAGAGGTCTTGCCCCACACCAGGTCCCCTAGCCCAAGGCTCCAGTGCCAGGAAGGGAAGTTCCCATTACTTCTGGTTGTAAAAACCAGCTGGGATTGCAACTGAGTGAGATGGAGGGCTTCTGGAGTCCCAGGCAGTTCCTGTTAAAGGGCCTGTGCATGGACTTACCCGGACTAGTCCTTCTGACTAGGGCAGCAGCTCAAAAGGCACCAGGGACATAACGGGGAGGAACTGAATTGTCTGACATCAGGGTGAGGTCTGGAAGGGTGGCTTTCTACCAGATAGAAGTGTTGGCAGAAGCCATCATTCCTTTGCTGAGTCTATCCCCCTTACAGAGCCAGCAGGCGGTGCCATATCTGAATCTCCATCAGCCTTGTTATCACTGTTTGCCCCACCCTGGTGATTCCCTGAGACCCACCTCACCCAACTTTCAGACCCACCCACGCTTTTCTATACAAATGGCCTGTCTTGGCTCAGGCTTCAGATTTTCCTAAAATCTCTCAAATAAGCAGCATTTACTTACATCTCACTAAGTATTCCCAGGCCAAGCACTGGTGGCAGTTGGTCTTGGTTCATAGCTTGCCCTCACCTGGGCCCGCCAAGCCCAGCACAAGTAACAGTCATCTGCAGATCAATGTGTCGCTCATACCCATGCCAGGAGGCCCCAGGCAGAACACAGGTGGCAGCTGGCCTTGGCCTGTACCTCCTGGAAGGCTCCAGAGCCTTTGCACCTGGTAGACAGCTTCACACCAGGTCGAAGCACCACCCAACCACCTCCATAAGCAACACACTCAAGGGGTGGGCTCAGTGGGCACCAGAGCCCTGCTGAAGTCAGTCCTGCTCTGTGGTGTAAGCCCCTACATCTGATCCCCCACCATGGTCACAGCCAGTTCTTGCAGCTGGTTGGCCTGAGGATAAATTCCTCCCCTTGTTGTACTAACAGCAATCAAGGCTCGATTGCAATAGGAGGGTGTACACAGTCCACAGTGGGGGAGGAGGGCACCACTGGGCCCTTCAGGACACCTACTCCACAAGGCCACTCTACCAAGCCCAGGAGACGTAGCAGCTCCATCTAATACATAGAAACAAGCACAAGGAGGCTGCCGAAATGAGACCAAAAAACGTCCCAAATGAACGGAACAGAACAAAACTCCAGAAAAACGCTAAACAAAATGGAGACAAGCAATCTGCTAGACGCAAACACTAGTTCTCAGGGTGCTCAGTGAACTCACCGAGATCTGCAACAGCATAAAAAAGGGCACGGAAACCGTAAAAAACCAGTCACACATGAAGGATCCACTAACTGAAATGACGACGACTTTACAGGGAATCAAGAGTAGAGTAGGTGAAGCCAAGAATCAAATCAACAATTTGGACTATAAGGAAGCAAAAAGAAAAAAAAAAAAAAACAGCAACAAGAAAAAAGAATCCAAAAATATGAGGATAGTGTAAAGAGCCCCCGGGACAACTTCAAGTGTATCAACATTTGCATTGGGGGTGCCAAAGGGAGACAAGAGCAAGAAATTAAAAAACTATTTGAGAAAACAATGACAAAATTTGCCTAACTTGGTGAAGAAAATAGAAATACAAATCCGGGAAGTGCAGAGACTCCCAAGCAGGATGAATCTAAAGAAACCCACACCAAACACATCATAATTAAAATGCAAAAGGTTAAAGATAGAGACTTAAAAGCAAGAAAAAAGCAGTTAACTACAAGGGAGCTTCCATAAGACCGTCATATTTCAACATAAACTTTGCAGGCCAGAAGGGAGTGGCAGGAAATATTCAGTGATGAAAAGCAAGGACCGACAACTAAGATTACTCTACCCAGCAAAGCTATCATTTAGAATCTTGGCTTCCCAGACAAGAAAAAGCCAAAGGAGTTCATCACCACCAAACTAGTATTACATGGAATGTTAAAGGATCTTGAGAAGGAAAAAAAAAAAAAGATTAAACATATGAACAATAAAATGGCAATAATATATATCTGTCAATAATTGAATCTAAAAATCAAAATGAACCAGCAGAATAGAAACAGACTCATAGATAAAGAGAACATTTTGATGGTTGCCCAATGGGAGGGGGTTGAGGAGAATGGGTGAAAAAGGTGAAAGGTTTAAGAAATACAAATTGGTAGTTACATAATGATCATAGGATTGTAAAGTACAGCATAGGGAATAAAGTCAATAATGTTCTAATAACTGTATGATGTCAGATGGGTACGAGATTTATTGGGAAATTATATAATGTCTAATCATTGGGGTGTACACCTGAAACTAACATAATATTGTATGTCAACTATAATTGAAAAATTTTAAATGACTTAAAAAATAAAAAATTTAAAAAGAATCACCAATATAATTAAGGATTGGCATTATTATTCTGAATTCTAGAACAAAATATACAACAAAGGTTTAATTTCTGATTCGTAAAAAATCTGAAAAGTTAGAAGGCTCAACAACTGTTTTCTTATTGGATAATTATACAGAACTTCTGGTACCTTTGGTTTCATCTTTATGCATTGTGGTTGTTATGAAACTATTCATTTTTCTCCCTAAAATTAGGTTTGCTTTGTATTGTTAGAGTAAATTTTTAAAAATATGTATAACTCCAGGATCTGATTGTATGAACTGGGTCTCTAATGCTGTACAAAACAGACCAGTTCACACTGTATAAAGATATTTGAAAAGCCTGGGGCTTTCTCTGGACTGTTAAACACTCATAGTATCGTTATCTTTATGATTTATTGTGAACTTTTATCTATCACCAATTTACTTACTGTGAAAACAAAACACGGCACTGGCATAACATACGATGGGAAGGTGACTGCCGTGTCCGGCTCTGTAATTACCACTGAGCAGATGTTTCTGTGTTCTGGGGTCTGTAATTGGGTTCTCACAACTGGTCCAGTTGCAAGTGTGTTGTCTGTCGCTAACGAAAAGTTAAACTTTTGTCGTTTCTTTGAAATACAAAAACAAATATCGGTTTCATTCATTTTTGGGAAAGCCTAGCTTGCTAGTTATTAGTCATCATTTTACAATGATGATTTAGAGGTTAGTAAACATGTGTTTCCTTATTCAGTTAAGATTGTAGCCCAAGGATTGTATGAGCTTTGATTTTAAAAATCTGAGAGGAAATGTTTCTCACTGGATCCCAATGATTTTATTAAAGAGTGTTCTGTTTTTTTAAGTACTGATAGAATTTTTTAAATGTGTATTGGTTCATGTACTCTATCTTTAGTAAAAGTTTTTTTTTCATTTTTAGCATCCATAGTTTCATTCAGCAAATATTTATTGTCTTGCATATATAAATAATTCATTATGTTAAACTTATTTTTAGTTCAATATTCTGGAAATGAAACCTTATTTTTTACTTAAACTTATTCTACAAAGCAAACAAACAGCAGTTATCCTAATTTTAATAAATACTAAAACCTTTGCAAAACTTTCTTTGTGTCCTAAATGATTTTTGGCCCATACCCAGCAACGGTGGTGAATATATAATGAAATAACATTTTGAAAGCAGACCTGATATATTAAGTATTGATTGAGCTTCTAGCAAACGCTCAGGATTGTGGCTTTTTCTATACTCATTTCCTGTGACAGTCATACTATTTTCTTTATATAATTAAAAGTGGAGATGTGGAGTTTCTTGATAGACCAGTTCCTTCACAGTTGTACAGGAGGTTATAAGAAGAAGAAATATAGTAAATGAGTCGCAGGGGAGTGGGTTAAGCTACTGTTTTCTTCAGGTTGTGACACAAGTTGACAAAGCCGGGGAGTTCACAGCTGAGCAGTGGCACGAAGTACCATTCGTTCTAAAAACAATTAGGCCCAGCGGGGTGTCCCTATGGCTTCCTATCCTCCTAAGCGCTCTGCCGCGCTTCCTCTCTGAGCTCTGAATGCCTGGGCTTCTTGTCGTCTTGTCTTGATACAGGTGTTTTCCTGTAGTCGTCATTCTTTTGAGTTAATTCTGTCCCCCAGACAGATTCTTTCTGGAGAGAGTAATGTCTTGGTGTGTTTTGGGTTTTTTCTGGAGAGAATCATGTCTTCAAACAAGTTTGTGCTCACTTGGCTTGCATTTTGCATCCGTTAGGGCTTCCTGCATCTGCGTCCTTTCTCCTTCATCACACCTCCTTTTAAAAAAGTTCTCTGTTCCAGGTTAATAGTCTGTTTCATTGGTTTGTTTCAGGCCTATGAAGAACAGAGGGTAAGAGGACTTCTCTTTTTATGTTGCTACTAGTTCCATCAGGTTGGATTCCAACCTTCGGAATTGTGTGTATTCCAATGAGTAGGCATGAAATAATAGAGAAAAGTTAACACGTGTACAAAATGGTCAATACTGACATCCTAATCTCTACTGGGGACAGATAGGTCCTTGAAGTTCTCCACAATGCTTTCTTAAGAAGCATTTATATTTTAAAAATAAAGTCTTTAATTTTTTTGCTGTTTAAAGTCTCCATGCTTTG